CAGCCAAGCCCAGATATCTTGTCAAAAAATAAATGCATCACTTGCTCATATAATTAGCGAAGAACGTACCAATGGACTTGCAAAATATATTTCATTAGACACACCTACTTTTGTTGGACTCAGTAATTATAACGATGAAAAAATATGGAAAAACGAATTTGGTATTTTATTGATAATATTTTATAAAATTAAATTTATCTAATTATTCAAATTTTTATTTTATTTTTTTCATTTAAAGAAAAATATTTTATTAATTTATTGATTAATTTATTCAATAAATAAGTTCAAGATATTCAAAGATTATAATATTTAATATTTTCCTCATAAATTTTAGAAATTAAAAATAATTAATAAAAAAATTATACAATTTTAGGTGAATCACTTTCGTGTTTTAATTATAGAGCATGGGGAAGAGGACAACCATCTCATTCGATAGGATGTGTTACACTTGTATCGTCTAAATTAGAATTCGGACCTTTTTGGAAAATTGTACCTTGTGATAGCATCTTAACTTTTATCTGCGAAATTTCACCAATGTATCGATATCTATATAATTAAAAAATTAAATGCTTTTAATTTATAAATTCAAATATATTATTATTACTTATATTATTAAATAATATTTAAAAATAAAAATAAATAAATATTTTGCAACAATAAAAAAAATTCAATTATTAAATTATTTATATTATAATTATATTATAAATATGAATATATAAATAAATATATATAAATATAAATAAATAATAAAGAAAAAATAAATATTTTTTATTTTATTATTGAAATATAAAACCATATAATAAAAAGGATAAATTGATACATTAAGAACACAAATATTAATTATATACAGAAGTTTAATATAGTTACAAGTATTTTTTTCATTATTAACAGAAAAAAATTTATCCAAAAAATTATTTACATTTGAATTAATTTGAATTTATGATCCATAAAAAAGAAAAAATACAATTTTCATTCTTTGATTATATACAATTCTACAACTATATTTTTAAAAATTGTGTTTTTTTCCATTATTTATTTATCATCTATCATATATATTTTTAAATTGATTGCTTAATACATAAAACCAGTTACTAAGTTGTATCAATATTTTATTTAGTATTTTACTAGTAATTCAGTAATAATATAATAACAATTTGATCATATTAATATTTCATTGCTTAATAACATTTAATATAAGCAAAAAATTAATTTTTAAGATTTTATGCGAATGTAATAATATACATTTGAAACAAACAGTAAGTTATTTTGTTAAATATCAAAATTTTATATAAATAAAAATTTGCAATATTATATTTTATTATTAAATTCTTCAAAAAAATATATTTTTTTAATTTAAAATTTTATATGCACTAAGCAATGAAAATGAAATAATTTTCATTTACTTATTTCCATATATACAAACCAATTTATTTTTAAATTATTAATTTAAATTTTAAAAATAAAATAACATGCAATATAATTTTATATACAAAATTATTATATTTTTATAATAATTTTAAATTTCCTCCATTTATATTTTTCAAATAAAATCTTTTTAATATTAAAAATAATTGTATAATGTACACATGATTAATTTGAAGCATTTGATTTGCATTTTATAAATGATTTTATTTTTAATCTTTGATATAAATATATTTATAATCTATATCAAAGATTATTTATGTAATTAAATATTTTAAATATAAATGGAAATATTTGTTTTTAAAATAGAATAAATAATTAGTTGAAATGCAAATATATGAGAAAAATTTATGTAATTTCACTTATACTTATAAAAATGTATGTTAATACCATACTTTATTCACAATGTCGTTGTTTTTTCAACTAATAATAATATTAAATAGTAAATAGTCTATAATGTTCTAAAGGAAGACAAAATATTTTATTAAAATTATGATATTCAAGTAATTAGAATATTACATTTGATCTAACTATACTTTAAATTTTAATTTCATTATAAATTTGAAGAAAATTGCTGTGTAAAAATAGTAAACTATAATTAATATTATATATGAAATTGAGAAATTTTTTGCTTTTACTTAGGACTATTATTGTCACATATTGTTAACTTGCAAACATGTATGGAATTTAAATTTGCAAATAGAAATGTTGATTCATAAAATTTAAACATATTACATAAAAATCTTATATTAATGCTTCAGCATTAATGTATAATATATAAAAGTATAAAAGGATTTATTATTGATATTCTTTTGTATGAAGTGATATCAATTATTGGACCTCTTTTAATGCGGTCAATATGCTAAATTGTTATTAGATTAAATTGATTGTGCATAAAATTATAATAAATAATACAAATGTTTCTATATTTTTTGTTTATAAAAATATAAAGAAGGAGAAAAAATATTAAGTAAAAAGTAAAAACTAATGAATAAAAAGATACTTCTTTGACAATTATTTGTAACTTATATAATTATTGAGATTAAATTTAACCAAACTATCAATTTAATATTATTTATTTTGCATTGTATGCATTTACTGCATTTATTCAACATAATAATAAGTCAGAAATACTTAACATAATATCTATATAACATATAAACATATACATTATCATATATATGTACAAGTATAGATATTGCAAAAAAAAATCTATAAGAAATTTTAAACATGATTAATATAAAAATGTAATCAATTTATTAAAGAAATGTATACATCAAAAGAAGATTTTGAGATTTATTATGCAACAAATTTGTGCTTTCATTTTAAGTTTGGGGACGGATGCTACATAAAAGATACTTTCAAATAAGATCTATTTTAAGCATGATTTTTTAATAACATGTAGCATACTGATAATTGTAATACTATATATGAATATAGATATATTGCAATATTTGATTTACATATGAACTTTTTAAGGATCTTGTACTTGTGGTATAATTAGATTTTTTTTAATAATTGAATGTATTATATTAATTCTATGAACAAATATAAATGCAATTAAATAGTATCAATTAAATGATATTTGACT